CTAACTGAAAAGAAATTAGAACTTAAGTGCCTCCTGGTGTTAGACAATGCCCCTGGCATCCTACAGACGTGGCAGAGCGACTTTATGGGGACATGAAATTCATAAGGTGAAGTTTTTGCCTCCTAATACCACTCCTCTCCTGCAGCCCATGGACCAGCAGGTTATTGCAAACTTCAAAAAACTGTACACAAAAGCTCTGTTTGAAAGGTGCTTTGTAGTGACCTCAGAAACTCAACTGACTCTAAGAGACTTTTGGAGAGATCACTTTAATATCCTCAATTGTATAAACCTTATAGGTAAGGCTTGGGAGGGGGTGACTAAGAAGACCTTGAACTCTGCTTGGAAGAAACTGTGGCCAGAATGTGTAGACAAAAGGGATTTTGAAGGGTTTGAGGCTAACCCTGAGAGGAGTATGCCAGTTGAGGAATCAATTGTGGCATTTGGGGAAGTCCTTGGGTTGGAGGTTAGTGGGAGGATGTGGAAGAGTTGGTGGAGGAGGACAATGAAGAACTAACCACTGATGAGCTGATAGATCAACTTCAAGAGCAAGAGGCCAGACCTGAGGAAACTGGTTCAAAGGAGGGGAGAGAGAAATTGAAGGAATTGCCTACTACAAAGATTAAGGAAATGTGTGCAAAATGGCTTGAAGTGCAAACCTTTTTTGATGAAAATCACCCTCACACAGCTATTGCAAGCCGTGTTGGCAACCTGTACACTGACAATGTTGTGAAACACTTTAGGGAAGTCATAAAGGAACGAGAGGTACAGGCCACTATGGACAGATATGTTGTGCGAAAGAAGTCCAGTGACTCTGAAGCTGGTCCTAGTGGCATTAAAAGAAGAAGGGAAGTAACCCCAGAAAAGGACTCGACACCTCAAGTCTTAATGGAAGGGGATTCCCCTTCTAAACACTAACACTCTCTCTCTCCCCTCCTCCCATCCCATCAATCATCACCAGATCTTCAATAAAAGTAAGTGTCATGTAATTGTGCATGCCTTTTTCAGTTTGTGTGTATTAAAATTAACATTTCATGTGGTAAATTTTTTTTTTTTCATACTTTTGGGTGTCTTGCACGGATTAATTTGATTTCCATTATTTCTTATGGGGAAAATTCATTCGCATACCGAACATTTCGCATAACAGCCAGCCCTCTTGCACGGATTAAGGTCGCTATGCGGGGGTCCACTGTATATATACTCATAAATTCTAGCGGCTTCAAATCAGGCAGGAGAAAGCTGGTAGGCCCACATGTGAGAGAATGGGTCTGTGTGGTCAGTGTGCACCATATAAAAAAAATCCTGGAGCACGCAGTGCATAATGAGAAAAAAAAAACTCCGACCGTTTTTTTAATTTAAATGCCGACTTTGTGGTCTATTTTCGTATAGTATTTGTGGTTGTATTCTCGTTTTCTTGGTCTCATTTGATAGAATGGAAACTATATTATAGAAATAGACGTGATTTTGATTAATTTTACTATAAAAAGAACCTGGAAATGGAGCACAAAGTACGGGAAATGTTTGATTTTTGCCTATGTTCAAAAGTAAACAAATGATGTCATTGTCCAATAAATGTCCAAATAGCCATTCTAATATGCAGTCATGAATGGGTTGATGTAATTTTTACAATTATTACAGTATTGCAGTAGTCTGCATAACAATAAATCTTCTATTTTTTGTTTGAATAAAATTTCAAAATAAAAAGCAAGAGTAATATCACAGGGGCCTGGAGACATGACTGATGAACAAAGAAAATGTTAGTTTAGAGCCAGGAATGTCTGCATTGTTCATTCTGGTCCTTATTTTGAAATTGTCATATTTTTTAATTTTCGTGAAATTGGCCAAATTGCAAATTTCTGACCATGTTACTGGGTAGTTGAAATTGGTAAATGGGCAGATTCTTGTACTCAATCGATGGAAAAAATGGAGTTCTGAAGAAATAGCTATGAGTTTGGTTGACTGGGATAATGGAATTAGCCGAAAATAGGGCTCAAAGTGGGCGAAATCGCCGATTTGTAAATATCGCCGAGGTCGCTAACTTCGCGAGAGCGTAATTCCGTCAGTTTTCCATCAAATTTCGTTGTTTTGGTGTCTTTACAATCGAGAAAAGATTCTCTATCATTTCATAAGAAAATTTTTTTTTTTTTTTTTTTTTTTTTAAATTTTGCGACACCAGGAGACACCTCAGGATTGGGGGTTGCGACAGTCAAAGGGTTAAAGTGAAGCCTTTACTTGTGTATCATTCAGAAAATCCCAGAGTGTTTAAGAAAAACAATGTCTTTAAGAACAAGTTATGTGTCTTGTGGAAAGCTAATCATAAGGCATGGGTCACAAGGCAAATTTTCAAAGAGTGGGTCTGTGAAGTGTTTGGCCCCAGTGTGAAAAAATACCTCCAGAAAAAGAAATTGCCACTCAAAGTGCCTCCTGTTAATGGACAATGCTCCTGCTCATCCTCCAAACTTATTAGACCTCTTGTCTAAGGAATTCAGTTTTATAAAAGTGAAGTTCTTGCCTCCTAACACCACTCCTCTCCTCCAGCCCATGGACCAGCAGGTCATTTCTAACTTCAAAAAACTCTACACAAAAGCAGTGTTTGAAAAGTGCTTTGAAGTGACCACAGACACTTAAGTTGACCCTAAGAGAGTTCTGGAGGAATCACTTCAACATCTACAGCTCCATAAGCCTTATAGGTAAGGCTTGGGAGGGAGTGACTTCCAGGACTTTGAACTCTGCTTGGAGACAATTGTGGCCAGATTGTGTCCAAAAGAGTGATTTTGAAGGGTTTGAGGCTGACCCTGACCCAGCTGACCCTCTGCCTGTTGTGGACTCTATTGTGCCATTGGGGAACACTCTGGGGTTGGAGGTGAGTGTTGAGGATGTGGAAGAGTTGGTGGAGGACCACAGGGAAGAGTTAACCACTGAAGAGCTGCAAGAGTTTCATCTGGAGCAGTATCTGACCACAGCTGAGGAACTTGCTTCAGAGGAGGAGGAAGAGGGAGTGGATGAGGTGCCTTCTTCAAAGATTAAGATTTGTGCCAAGTGGAATGATGTCCAAATGTTTGTGCAGAAGTACCACCCTGAGCAAGGTGAAACAAGCCATCTTTGCAACAAGTTCAGTGACAGAACCATGTCCCATTTTAGGGAAATGTTAAAGAGGCACCAGAAACAGAGGACTGTGGACAGTTATTTTGTGAGACAGGGGTCCAGTGACTCTCAAGCTGATCCTAGTGGCATTAAAAGACAGAGAAGGGAAGTAACCCCAGAGAGGGCTTTACCTGAAGTCCTCATGGAGGGGGATTCTCCTTCCAAACACTAACCCCAACTCCCTCTCTCCTCCTCCCTATCTTCCAGATGCCATCACCAATCTTCAATAAAGGTAAGTAAAAATGTTATTTTATTTGTATTACTCTACATAATTAAAAACTATAGTATTTGTTGTATGTAAAACTGTAATTAATCTCTATAAAATGTATTTTTTGTGTGAATATTTTTGGGTTTCTGGAACGGATTAATTGTAATTCCATTATTTCTTATGGGAAACATTGCTTCAAATTTCAGACTTTTCAAATTTAGAACTAGCTCCTGGAACGGATTAAGTTCGATTTTTGAGGTTCCACTGTACCCAGAGATTACAAACCACTTTAGAAATACTGAATCATAATACAATTTAACTGCTCTATACTGTTTATATTTCATAAGCATGATGGAATATAATATTAAGCTTTCCCTCATTATATTTCATTTAAGAGTATGTCTTATCTTCATATCAGATTTTTAATTAACACAACCCATCACTCTGGAACTATATCCATTTTCCATTTTATCTTCACAAAATTTTAAATGTACTGTACATACGTCACCCATTGTTTTCTCAAGTCCATATCACACTGCATATCCTTTATTTTCTATGCTCACACCTTTAATATATCCCTTATTTTTCCTTTGTACTGCAAGTCTCACACAATAACCTCTTCTACTATACAGTACATAGTCAACCACCCTTTCATATCACATTCACTATTTCATGCTTATCAACATAAACAACTGAAATATCTGAAGAATTGAAACTTATGCAACACAAGGGAATCTTTATTGAAGAAATGTTTCGCCACACAGTGGCTTCATCAGTCCAATACAGAGTAGAAATGGGTAAGGAGAGGAGGAGTTTAAAGATTCCCATGTGTTGCATAAGTGTCTCAATTCTTCAACTTGTCAGTTTTCAAAACCATTCATCACATTTGTCAGACACTGCAACATCATGGGAGCTTGGTACAAAGACTTCAACACTTGTCCAACCTTTGGACGACGACCTACTTACACTAGTGGCAGGTCCCACTGTGATCCCGCCTCCTCCTGCTTCGACTCATCTGACTGCAGTATATAAGCCACCTCTCAGGCCCTATGCTGCACTTCCTACAAGAGTGATGGACTGAACACATCGATTCCAGGTTGGGGGACTGATTACCTCAAACTCCTCCTCTCCTTACCCATTTCTACTCTATATTGGACTGATGAAGCCACTGTGTGGCAAAACGTTTCTTCAATAAAGATTCCCATGTGTTGCATAAGTGTCTCAACTCTTCAACTTGTCAGTTTTCAAAACCATTCATCACACTACTGAAATATCTATTATTCCTACCCCCTTCCCCAACCAATTGATACAGTACTGAATTGTTATCTTTTCAACACATACGGCACCGACACTGATCCCACTAACATAGATCTACATGATGGACAGTTAAGGTGTTAACTTAATGATCAACAGCAGTGACTTTAATTACACATAAATACTGTGACTTGTTTTCATGTACAATAAGGATCAGGATTAAGAGTATTTCATGCAATCAGTTAATCAGGCGAGGTAACTAGCATGTAAGCACACTTGAGATATACTAAACTTGCTAGAGTATAAGCACACCTGGGAATTACCAAATATGGAATCCCAAACAAGTCCACAAGTTTGATAACTATCTCCTCACAGTCCTGCAGGTGGTGATGCCTACCTCTCTGTCAGAGCTTGTTTTAGTAGTATTAGATGTTGTTTCTAATGTTTCTGTGGTATCGAAGGATCGGTCGGTGAAAGATACTCCCCCTCGTGAGCTAGGTGACCCTGAACGAGGTGATGACCTCCCACGCCCTGACCTGCAACAATGTACTTTTATACAAGGTATATAAACAACATACAAATACAACACAATTAATAATGTATAATACCAAACAGATAAAGTGTTCATTCATGTATCAGTCCAGCTTCTACAGTGTGGGCATATATTACAGTAATACAAAAAATGATGGTAATGTGTGTTGTAACGATGGTGATAGCTATGATGATGTGGTGTGGTGATGGTGATAAATTGTGATGGTAATGTGTGTAGTGATGGTGATGTGCTGTGGCGATGGAAATTGTTGGTGGTGATGTGTTGTGATCGTAATGTGGTGTTGTGATGTGTGGTGATGTGACGTGTTGTGGTAATGGTGATGTGTGGTGATGGTGATGTGATGTGTTGACATTAATGTGTCTTGTGATGACTGTAATATGCGTTGTGATGACTGTAATATGTGTTGAGATGACTGTAATATGTATTGAGATGACTGTAATATGTATTGTGATGACGGTAATGTGTTCTGATGACCGTAATATGCAGTGTAATGACTAAAATGCAGTGTCATGACTGTAATGTGTTGTAGTGATTGTAATATGTTGTGATGACTAATGTGTTGTGATGGCTGTAATGTGTTGTAGTGATGACTTTAATGTGTGTGGTGATGACTATAATGTGATGTAGTGATGACTGTAATATGTGATGACTGTAATGTGTGATGACTGTAATGTGTGTTGTGATGACTAATGTCTGATGACTGTAATGTGTGTTGTGATGACTAATGTCTGATGACTGTAATGTGTGTTGTGATGACTAATGTCTGATGACTGTAATATGCATTGTGATGACTGTAAAGTGTTGTGACGACTGTAATGTGTATTGTTTTAATATGTTTATTATGCACCCCTTACCCATCCTGTGGGTACTGTGATTGTAACGTGTGTTATGATAATTGTAATATGTGCTGTGATGGCTGTAATGTGTTGTGATGATTATAATATGTGCTGTGATGGTTGTAATGTGTTGTGATGATTGTAATATGTGCTGTGATGTTGTAATGTGTTGTGTGATTGTAATAGTGCTGTGATGGTTGTAATGTGTTGTGATGATTGTAATATGTGCTGTGATGGTTGTAATGTGTTGTGATGATTGTAATATGTGCTGTGATGGTTGTAATGTGTTGTGATATTGTAATATGTGCTGTGATGGTTGTAATGTGTTGTGATGATTGTAATATGTGCTGTGATGGTTGTAATGTGTTGTGATGATTGTAATATGTGCTGTGATGGTTGTAATGTGTTGTGATGATTGTAATATGTGCTGTGATGGTTGTAATGTGTTGTGATGATTGTAATATGTGCTGTGATGGTTGTAATGTGTTGTGATGATTGTAATATGTGCTGTGATGGTTGTAATGTGTTGTGATGATTGTAATATGTGTTGTGATGGCTGTAATGTGTTGTGATGAGTGTAACGTGTTGTGACGTTAATTAATATTATGCGCAGATATGTGTATTAGTGTGTGTGAAGGGAGGCGGGAGTCAGCACACATATACTCACGAGGTGGATGCAGCCTCTCTGTCAGCAAGAACTATGCGAGCATCACGGGTGTCAGCTATGGTGTTTCGTCTCTTCACTCTCTTACGACGACGCTTGCCCTTGTAGTACTCAAACTGTCAATACAGAACACGTTAACACCATTTCATTTTAAAAGTCATTAAGCTTCGTACTTCGGCTGCATAGCTTTTACGGGAGAAAACAAGGTTGGTTGATTAATGGAGTTTAAGGGTCATTAGGGGTTGCACGTAACCTTTTCACCACCAAACAAGAATACTTTAATAGGGATTTAAGTCTCAAAATATGTACGCTTAGAGAAATAGACCTCTCGGTGTATGTATCTTGTAGGGATAACTATGATAAGATTTACTTTGCACACCATATCTACCATTTAAAAATTAGAAAAAGATTAAGTTATTTTGTCAAAGTTAAAGTAGTATGAGTTATTTATTATAGCTAAGGCAAGGATACGTTGTTATTTATTTTGGCTCTACAGTATGTCATTATGAATGGAATATCTTGACATTTCTTAAAGAGCTGTGAAAGAATTTCCTATAAAGTTTACGTTTGGTAAGACTGAGATAAGTGTGTAGTGTGAACTCCCACAAGTGTGTATCAGTAGCCCAGTCCAAGGCTGAGCTAGTAACGTGTCAAGTTCAGAAATCTGGCAATAGATGGTCAAAGTCTACAAATGATGAATCTGTGACATAAATAGCGTAAGCCTTTTATGTACTCACGTTTTGGCTGCTGTGTAGCTTTGTCAAGTATTTGATAAAGCCACACTTCGGGCTTAACGTGCTTACTTTATTTATCTTTGATTCAGTATAATAATCTACTGAATTCCTTGGTGAGCCATATAGACGAGGCTCTTCATGCATTATAGTACAGATCAACGGTCCGTCTACTCTACCAGGGACATGGTTGCACCAACTGTGAACCAATTGTATCTCACAATTCTAGAAGATTTCGTGGTACATCTGTTGCTTTGTGGATGAATGGTTCAGAGAACCGACATGTTGATAAATTAGACACATGTGCAACTCTTGGGTATCTTTATTGAGGATACCCAAGAGTTGCACATGTGTCTAATTTATCAACATCTGTTGCTACACAGCGCTAGGCCTCTTACATGCATGGACCATGATTCCAGTCCCCGTCTATTCTTCTGTTTATTCATACCAGCGAGAGAAAGAGAATATTTAAATAAACAGGAGGGACCACAATAAAATAACTCACGTGGACTAGAGACTGGCGGAACTTCTCGAGCCGCTTGAAGCCTGTGCCGGAGACATCAATGGGTACTAGCTGTGGTGGGTACTTGAGGGAGAGTGCTAGTACGCGCTGCTCGGGCGAGGGCAGTTTGTGGGGCGTTGGTTCCCGCTGTGGTGGGCACACGGGCGCCGGCACGGACGGTGACACTGGTGCCAGCGACACCTCCGTTAAGGTCTCGTCGTCAGAGCACCATTCCCGCAGCGCAACAAAACTCGCTGGCTGTGAAACACACAAATCTAACTTATTATTTACATTACTGCAACCTTAACTCTAGGTATAACATTTGTCTGGTTATATACTATTTTTCAACTCAAATTTGCAGGCACTAATACTTAAAGTGAATTTTGTAGAGGAAAAACAAAAAATATTTATTAAGTTTGACAAAAGTGTTCCTGTCATCTACATTACTATTATTATTATTACTATTATTATTATTATTATTATTATTAAGTTTTATCATTATAATAATATTATTATTACATTCATGGGTGGAGGAGGAGGCCTCAACTGTTAGGGAGTATGAAATCGTTCAGGATCGACATCGATGCAAGGATCTTGTCATTTGCGTTCAATGGTAATGGTTAATATGTGAACTCCACAACACATTCACGTTGACAAACTAGCAGCGTACAGCGTGCGACTGCATAATACTGTATATTTTCCATCTTGAGGTATATATTAGGAATATTCTCTAGCTGCAATATTACGAATAATCTCCTGGTGATGCAGCTACGCGCAATAATATTAATCATTTGAATTATGTGCCAAGCGGCTTAATAATTATTAGGAAAACAAAGTTGTGTTACTGAGAATAAATTATGAGGAAAATATTAAGACAAAAATATAAACTTGCATCTTAAGTACGGTCCATCATAAGTACACATCACGGACATATAAAACGCACAGACCTCAAAAACTACTCAAAAGAAATTTGTCCAAAAAAATAATCTTAAAATCATTTAGATGAGCTGAAGAATGAGCAACCATAATCACGTCATACATAAACACACCATCTCTAATCGTTATTTTTATTCTGAAAAGTAAATCAACATACACACTATGTGTGCAGGCAATGATAAGGGCTCCCATGTACAATATTTGTAAACCACACATTTATAATTCTATGAAAGACATGTAGTGTTATAAAGTACAGACATTTATACTATGTAGCAGCAGAACTCACACAAATATATTGTAATATCATCTGTAAAGACTGTTAAGGTTCTACGGTATGATTTGTCTCAGTTACACAGGTGATATATCTGTGGCTGGTTTCTAAGGGTCTACCCTCGCAGGCCGGTCTGAGGCTAAACTATATCTCTGTCAGTTATAATAAATAAATATTCAAACCTTGCAAATGTCTCCACTTACCTAAACTGACTGTTGGTATATTAATACCGTAATGTGATCGTACAACCCATCCTCACACTGTGCAAAGCGTGTAGATTATAAAGTTGCTAATTAATGTGATTAACGTAAAAATAAATCTGTAAGAAAATGAACGGTGTCAAATGCGGATAGGTTGCCATGTTTAGCAGCCTACTCTCTCTCACTACAATAAAACCTTGATAATGTGTCACGTCAGAGTTAATATATAGGATGAAAGATTTTTGTGACTGCTTTACTGCCACCTTTGTTAAATGGCGATAATAGTGTTTTTTTTTTTTTCATATAATATACCTTTGAGTTTCTATAGTTTTTCTACTCCAGGATCCCGGCCTTGGGCCCAGCTCTTTTGTTGCTTGCCTGTTCAACCAGGATGTTGCTGCCGGAGGCCCGCTGGCCCACATATTCATCCCAGCCTAGTTGATCTGGCATCTGGTGAAGATATTGTACTTGTCCTGTTTCTTCTTGAAGACTTTTATACTTGTCCCAGAAATGTTTCGTATATCTTCTGGTAAGATGCTGAATAGTCTGGTGCCACGGATGTTGATACAGTGTTCTCATATTGTCCCCATTGCACCCATACTTTTCACTGGGTTTATTTTGCACTTCCTCCCATATCTCTCACCCCTGTATGTTGTTATGGCAGTGTGCAGATTTGTGACAAGGCACTCAAGTTGTTTCTAGGTATATATCATGTAAACTCTCTCTCATTAGCTCTAGTGAGTACATATTTACGACTTTAAGGGTTTCTTAGCAATTTAAATGCTTTACTGGCTGTATGAGGGCCGTAAATGATCTCCGTATCTGTTCCAGCTCTAATATCTCGCCTGCCCTGAACGGAGCCGTCAACACTAACAATATTCCAAATGAGGGCACATGCAATTTGAAAAGTGTCACTATTGGCCAAATGAGGGTACAGGCAATTTGAAAAGTGTCATATTGGCCAATAGTAACAGCCTGGTTGATCAGGCCCTGATCCACCATGAGGCCTGGTCACAGACCGGGCCGCGGGGGCGTTGACCCCCGGAACCCTCTCCAGGTACTGGCATTAATTCTCTGGAGCAGAGTGGATGGTCATCATACCAATATCTTCAAGGTGAGGTCACCTGTTACTTGTAGTCGAAGTTAGAATTATATTCAGACAAGTGGTTTGAGCCTAGGGTCACAGTCATGAACATTTCATGTGGGTTGTCAATCTTTAGTCTGTTGAAAGGTTCACCGTTAACACAGTTATACTGTGTTACTCAGTATTTTGTTTACTCTTTTTTTTTTCTTTTACAATTATATGGGTGGGTGGGAAGGTTTAGGATCCACCAGCACCATGGGAAGCAAATTGTATTCATATATGTAGGTAGAAGCTGCCTAGGTTGTGAATGCCGGCGTCCCCTGTTACTGATGTGCAATAAAGGGGTACTGTCACTGTCCCGGACTGAGCGTCAGTAGTCAAGTTCTACTGTCCCCATCTCCCTACTTTTGAGCGGCCTCGCTGTTGCCCACACCCCTCACTCACCATCACATTTCATACAAAAGTTTTTCAATCTGCAGTGTGTGTGAACTATGAGGATCAAAGCCGGCACCACCTGCGACTATATAATAAAAAAAAATAGTTTTTGATTAATATTTAACATCCCCCATGTGAAAGCGTACTGAACTAGAGCTAAGAAAACTCAAAACTCTTGCCGTTGGTGCTTGATGACTTTATCAAGTTTTGTGCTACCTGGAGGACATTCCTGGGGATCAACGCCCCTGCGGCCCGGTCCACGACCAGGCCTCCCGGTGGATCAGGGCCTGATCAACGAGGCTGTTACTGGTGGCCGTACGTAGTCCAACGTACGAACCACAGCCCGGCTGATCCGGCACTGACTTTAGGTATCTGTCCAGCTCCCTCTTGAAGACAACCAGGGGTCTATTGGTAATGCCCCTTATGCATGGTGGGAGGCTGTTGAACAGCCTTGGGCTCCGGACACTTTTTGTGTTTTCTCTTAGTTTACCAATGGCGCCCCTACTTTTCACTGGGGTATGTTGCATCACCTGCCAAGTATTTTGCTTTCGTAGACAGTGATTTCTGTGTGCAGATTAGGAACCAGTCCCTCCAGAATCTTCCAAGTGTAGATTATATCTCTCTCTCGCCTGCACTCCAGTGAGTACAAGTCAAGTGCTTCCAGGCGTTCCCAGTAGTTAAGGTGTTTGATGGAACTTATATACGTGCAGTAAAGGTTCTCTGTACATTCTCTAGATCAGATGAGTTTCGAACTTCTTCTTACTCCCAAGAGCCCGGCCATGGGCCAGGCTAGTGAGAACCTACTGTATTAGAGAGAGGCAAGGAGAGCCACAATTGGTGTCTCCCAGTAGAACCGTAGTTGTGCCGGTGGGTTTTCCTACGCACCTCAAATTGTAATAATGCATACGCCACGGGGCCCTAGTGAGACCAGAATAATAAAGAGAGGGTTGCGCGCACAGTGAAGGAGGCCGCAAGCCCGCTACACCACAGAATAACAAAGTACATGAAGGAACAGAGAGCTAGAGAGTGCGTGTGTGTCCAAGTATGTGAACATAACACGGACAGTGAACATGACACAGCGAGCGAACATGACACGGCAAGTGAACATAACACGGAGAGATGGTGAACTTAACAGGAAGTAGCAGCTTTGATATTTGAAGTAAGCTTTGACTGTGTGGGTCATTCAGAGCTCATGACAAAATTATTTACAGCATACACAAGGAAAAATAAAAGCTAAAATAAACAAACTACTTACCTGACTGAAACACAACACAAATAAATACTCTTATGCCAAGTTCAAATAATCGGCATCAGTTATAAAAAAACTCATGAATTCGTTAATTGGAGGGGGCTTAGGGAGGGCTAGCTGTTGCATGAGGGGGGGGGCTCTTGTATTTGCAAAGCAGCCACACTGTTTTCTAATGATCCTTGTATTTACACTTATAAGATCGTTATTGCATTCATGAGGCTCGCTAAATCCGTAGGGGTCATACAGCGCCTGGGGAATGGAAGGCATTCAGGCTTAATTCAAGGAACTGAAGCACAGGTTCAATTGCTTAGAATATTTTGTAAGAGAAAACGAATGTCCGTATCAAAGAACATGAACTAATATATTAATATTACACGAAATTACATTTATATACAACTCGCCATCAAAATAATTACCTTATAATATTAATATTATAATTAAATTAAGCGCTAAACAGGAAAGGGTGAATATATTTATTTGACTCTCATAAGAGAGGCTCAGGGTAAGTGAAAAGTTATACCAGTATGGTTCTTCTGTTGTTATGGATGGAAGCAAAAATATCAATGATACCTTCAACGTTTAGACTCTTGGTTCTTTTAAAGTTTATAGATATAACTGTTATATCACTTGTTCTGCTATCACTACTGTTGTTCCTCAAATAAGTTCTTGCCAAGTCGCAGGCAGGAAAAACTACGATCACATGCTAAGTATTTACTAAGTTACACTGCTGCATACCAGCTCATACAGATCTATGAAAGCATCATAGTATAGCTCGAGTATAGTAGCATAATAGAACATAGTAGAGTTGTGATTGTATCACCATTATTTTTACTCTCAAGAAGCCACACTGGATGAGGCTCAACACTTAAAATTTTCCTCCTTGACACCAAAGTGAAATGCCATCTCCAGGATACAAGATTTCTCTAGAAATGACACATCTTAAGGATTCAGTGCTGATGAGTTGTTAGAATATCGCCGTTTAATTCGTTGACTAACATGTCTACGTTATAAAATAAGCATTTGTGCAGAATTCATGAGGAGACATTTGCCGACGATACCCAAGTTGAGAATCAACAACAAGCT